TCAGAAAGAAAGTGTATGCAAAGTAAAACTTTTATGAGAATATTTAAGTAGAAACTTGTTTAAAGAAAATCATCTCCTGATTGCGTCTGCAATATTTTATAGAAATCCCGCAAAAAAGCTAACTACAAGTTGGTTAATTTTTATGAATTGATATCTTTTTCTGCAGGGTATATATGAGATGCACATGTGTGTATACCCTGCAGGAAATGGGACTAGGTTGCAGCTAACTATTAACTAACTAGCAGTCGACTAGTGGTAGCTATTTATTAACTATTTCCTTTGGCCGTAGCTAACTACTTTTGAAAGGCCATGGCCGCAAAATAGTGATCCCTGTTTTCCGCTGCATTAGACGTCAACTAACTTGTAGCTAACTACTTTTGACATAAACTATAAAAAAATTCTATTTTATATATATTTTTTAATTTATTTTATTTAACATTACATATTTGGTTATTTGGTTGCATGTTCTTTTGTAGGTGGTCCCTCATTTGAATTCCATCAGACAAAGATAACATCAAAATAATATTGTAAAGTGTCGATCTTTATTTTATTTGTCCTGAATTCGAAAAAGAATCTGCGAAGTGCAGACGAAAAGTGTATTGAAAATTATTTTTTGTAGGAGGATATTTAAATGGAAACTTGTAAAGAAAACAAACTCCCGATAACGTCTGCATGACTCCTGCATGACTTTACAACTAATTTAAAGTTAGTTTTGCCTTAGCTAATTAGAAGTCAGTTATTTATCGAAATCCCGAAAAAAAGCTAACTATAAGTTGCTTATTTTAATCAATTGATAATTTTTTTCTGCAGGGTACACATGTACTTATCTGTGTAACCATTAAAATTATAGTGAATACAAAACGGATATTTGCTTTAATATTAAAATCGCTAAAATTGAAAACAGCGAATGCTGCTCCAGGGAATTCAGAGTTTATAGATTATTTTAGCATTAAAGAAGCTTAAGATATTAAGAGTTTTAAATATTTTATTTACCCATTGTGAATTTAAATTGTTGCAGAAAATATGAGTAGCATTTATAGTAAGCCTCGCAAAGCCAGGCAACGTCGCGACGTACACTGTAACGAGTGCGGCCAAAAATAGTAAAAATGAAATTAGCAAATTCGGAAAAATGTAAATACATATAATATAAGTATTCGAGTATAAGCAGAACAGACATATTTTTATTTCAAAACGTTGAGTTTTACAAATGATCTCTAACAAAATACTTGAATGTGGGTATTGCTATATCTACCTTGTCCGTTCTCGGAAATTTCGGGTGTTCGTAACATTCCTTGTCAGTTCTATATTCTCGTTCAAGAAGCTACGGCATTCAGTAGCGGACTTCATTTTGTCCCGCCGGATCACTGAATGCCTCGTACTTCTCTTCAACTAGGACGCGGTCGCAAATGAATGTTGAAGAACATATCTTTGATGCGGATGACTTGATGATGTGGACGAGAGAACTCTCTCCCAACACAAATCCAAAATGGAAATTGAGCTACTTTACATGCAAGCTAGACGTCGCAAGGTTCAAGGATTATCCCGTCTATCGTATTTCAGAGATGGTGCTGATGTCAGCCTTAGTCTTTCCGAGGACATCGACCAGCCGGGCAGAGGCAGCTCTGTCGGGTCATTCTCAGAACAGACCCTTATATTTATATCCTTAAAGGTTTCCTTTGATCGTCATCAAAATA